ATAAATCCAGACTAACCCTCAGAGAAAAGAGGAAGGGCACCTCTTCTCTATAATATAAGGACCATTTAACATTCTAAGTTATTCTTTTGGTTGTCTAATAGAAATATCTCTTTTTCATTAATCTTCACCCAAGGATATTTGTCCATTGATTTTTTAGAGAGATGGAAAGAGAGAGGGAAAGACAGAGAGAAACATCAATGTGAGAGAAAAACATTGATTGATTGTCTCCTGCAGGAGCCCTGACCAGGGCCCAGGCCAGGGAGGAGCCTGCAACCAAGAAACGTGCCCTTGACTGGAATCAAACCCGAGACCTTTCGGTCCTCAGGCCAATGCTCTATCCACTGAGCCAAACTGACTAGGGTTAGAAATATTTCTAATGTCATAAATATTGAAACTGGCAATTTTGTCCTTCCTATAACTTGTGCCTTGGGACAAAAGAGAATGTACCTTTGAAATAAAAAAAAATACTGGAATATCTGCAGGTTTTCTTTGTACACAGGTGCATGGGTACCCACACACCCACCCATCCATCTCCATCACACACAATATTAACAACAAAAGGGATAATGATAAATGGGCAAATATGTTTTCTGTTAATGGACCAATCACAAAAGAGTTACTTAGCCAAAGTGTAAGTCTGAAGGAATATTTACCTATAAATGTGTGTTTGTGAAAAAATAAAATTCCTCCAACTATTCCAATCACTTTGAAACTCTCCTCAAATCTATTCTGCATGCTTCTATTCTCTTCCTAAAATATAGACCAGTCTATGACCCTGTTCTGCAACAAAACCCTTAGCTCCTTTTTTTTTAACTGTTAGCTTCTGACAGCATAAGAAAGGAAGTTCCATCCTACCAGCTTAGCAATCAAAGTTCTTCACAACTTGATCCAACCAACAGCTTTATCCCTTACCACACCTCCAAGGCATCTCCTGCTCCAGAGAAACTCATCATTTGCAAATGATTCCCTCCTTTCGCCATCTCTAGTCTAACTCTGCCTGGAGTGTGTATTTCTCTTAGGTACACCTATTATTTTATTTTAACTAACTTACACTGAGAATCCATTAGGTGCTAGTCAGGTACTAGACTCTTACCTATTCTTGGAGGCTTACCACACATTGTATTCCCATACCTCCTGAATTATAACCAATCTTTCTGTGCTGCAATACTTACATCACTCCTAGCTATAACAGAGCACTTAGCAGACACTACTGTTTATCTGCACAGCTACAATGTGCCTCCCCTTCTTCCTTAAAACAGAAATCATTTGTTTAGGTAACCAATCTGCATGTGCTGCGATACAGATGAGTCCTTAAAAAGGCTTGGGGATGAGTAATGAATTCCCTAAGCCAATCTAGGTCACCTTCCCCTCACCAGTGGTTGAGGTAAGCATACCACAGAAAGTAGCCATATCATCATCCACAGCACCAGGCAAACCTTCTTAGCTGGTCTTAGCAGGGTTCCACAGTGAACCTTAAAAAGGTACCAATGCCTTTTGTTTAATCTATCTTTTTCTTGCCATCATGAACAGGACCAAAATTCTGAATTAAAGTCCAACACCCAGCTGCTTATTCTCAGTTCTGCAGATTCAGGCCAGGAATTAATATGTAAGTAAAGGGCTTCATGGGACACCTTTGGATCTCTCACGGCTAAAATTTAAGATCACTCATGCCAAACAGTGACTAGTGGTACCTTTTCTTTCTTTCATGTTCTTTTAAGAGGCTCATGAAAAAATTTTTTTTTTTGAAAATAGATTCTTATGATGCACTTATGCATCTTCAAGGTCATTATCAGCTAAGTAAACAATAATGTCTTCCTTTATTTCAATTGTATGGTCATGAAACTAAGGAATACTTTATGTTGTTCTCAAAAAACAATTGTTTCCTTATAATTTTATCACCCACAGCCTATACTGGCAATGTAAAATTGATGTAAGAAACCTATACTATCCTTGAAAGCTATATCTACTAGAGCAAAACACAGACAGTGAATATTTGAATTTTTGAGGTCTGCTTGGCAGGGTAAATTCATCTTCACACAATTCTCCACAATAAATTAATAACAATTATTTATAGACTGCTACCAGTAAGATACACAGTTATGATATGAGCTAGAAAATGGTCAACAAAGCTATCTAACTATAATCAGTTACAGTAATAACTGTACTCCGTATTTACCATATCCTGGGACTGGTGGCATTTTGTTTTATTTGACTGTTTACTTGTCTGTCTGCCTCCTTATCCAGACTAAGCTACACAAGGGTATGAGCCATTTCCCACTCACTACTGTCATCCTATTACCTACCACAGTGTTCATGCTCAAGAAGTGCTTGTTGAATGTAAGAGTAAATAAATGAGCAAATACTAATGCCACATTAATTCTATTATAAACTGCAGGAAAAGATGAAAATGTTCAAAACATTTTTTAATTTTAAAGAAAGCTAATAATTTTTTTATCACCTATAGATTACATGAAATAATAAAAACAATGTCTTGACTGTGAAGTTAAAAAATACAAAACTAAAACCCAGGATAATTATCATATGCATGCTAATGAGAAGTGGGGTTAACTGTAGTTAACCAGCTTGGACGATAGAACAAAAACACCCACCAGTGTCCTCTTTGCAATAACATGACATTACTATTTTATTGCCATCATTATTGCCCAGGCAATTAACTTTACTCCTCTTTACATGAACTTCCCAAAAGAACCGCTAACTTCTTCAACTGAAAGTATTAACATTGATGAAACTCTTCCCTGAAATACCCTGCCTGTTTCCACCACTTGTAAACTATTTAATCCTGATCCTTTACCCATCTTAATCAAGTCTCCACATTGAAAGACCCATTTTTGCCTTTGCTTTTCCTCCCCAGAGTCTACTAAAGCTGTTAACATAGTCTTCTCTGTCACCAAGGTAAGCAATAAATTCAGTTCTGTCTTATCAGTATAGTGTGGTGGTATCTGGGGAGTTAGTATTCCACAGTAGTTAAAATTCTCAGGTAACTTCATATTTTGGGAAGGGAATAAACAGTGATTGGTTTTAGATATTAAGTTAATATGCATTTCTAGGTAGCCATTAGAAACAGACTACTTATTAAGGTAAACAAGTGATCTAACCTATCTGCATTGACATGAACTAACTTTAAAAATATTTTTAGTTTTGCTTGTTTTGAAGTGCATAGCAAGTCACAAAAGTAAACACTCAGTATTATCCTATTGATATATATTTCAAAACAGGCAAAAAATAATTCACTTTTTATAGGACAGTACATATGGAAATATATGCATAAAATTATAGAGAAAATCAAGCCATGAAGTGAAAAAAGCTTAATACAATGATTAGATATGCAGGGATAAGAGGGGTAATCAGGGAAAAACAAAAGGAAGGGACTTCAGAACTATTATTGAAAAAGTCACTTTTTTTTAAGTTGAGTCTCTTACTGGCTGAGTTGAGTCACAACCTAGGTTAGACATGCTGAATGATAGTTCAATTATTATTATTTAATGATTAACATACATTATATACATACACACATAACTATGTTCATACACACACATATATAACAATTCCTCTCCCATAACACAAATCACTCAGCATGCAGGTATCATGTAGCTCTCTTGGCACTGACCTGTGGGAATTGGAATTAGGGGAAGAGAAAGTGCTAATACTCTGGCTACTGCTACTTTTGTAACATAGTCCTTTGTCTCTGACCCAAGAGGCTCCTATCTTCTATCAGCATTCTTGAACTTGTGGTAAGCTAACTGGCTACTTTGAAATGGTACAATATCTTAAACTTTTCACAACTTTTGAAAATATTAAGAAATCCTATCTATGAAAAGAAGACAACTGGTACAGTTTACAGCATGGTGAAAAACTAAGATGGGTGGTAGGAAAATGAGTTTTAGCGTTGGTGTAGGTATAAAATATGAATGATATATAGGGCAGACACTTCTCCAAATCTCTATAGATAGCTAGGACAGCTTCTGTTCTCAAAGTCTAAGGTTATAGATGTCAGAAAAAATAACATGACATGCAATGTTGCAGAATGCAGAAATGTGAAAAAAATCTAACCCTATAAATGTTAAAGATACAAATTGTGATGACAGCAAGTACAAAGTTTATTTCATCTGCATTGAAATCTTTAGCTGTAATATACCACAAAATGAAAATTCTCTTTTAACTTGTATATCAAAGAAAAAATAAAGAACCCTGCAAGGAAGCTCAAGTAAAATATTTTTACGATATACAAATGCCACTGAAGTGAAAAATCTTCAATAAGACCACCCAACCTTGACAAGTGTATTCACATAGGATTTAAAGAGTAATATTTGTATGACATACAGTAGGTGGTCTTTTGCGTGGATGAAATACTCCAGCTGACTTTGGTTCATGAGTGCTTCTAGGAGAATTATGGTAAGTTTCTACCAGTCAAACCATAAAGTTAGCCTAAATTTCTAATTCTGCTTTCAGATCCATAATTTTTGTGATGAAAAATTAAAACTTCTTGGTCCTATGTGTAGGAATGTATCCATATATGTACTGTACTTAAGAATACTAGGTATGATGGGTAATATGTACCCACAGATACTGCATTTTCTTTTAATAATGTATTCTTTATTTTATTGATTGACTATCAGGAAGCTCCTCTGCAAAATGTTCAGCACTAATGGTAACACTTTTCTGGCACAACTGTAGTCCTTCACTTGGATTTTTATTCTCAATTCCTTATTTTACAGTTTTACTCTGTATGTATTTTTTTACCAGACATTTTCTCAAATTATGTGCAGAAGTAGAAAAAAACTAATGGCTGTGTATTTGTATGTATGTGTCTTCTAATTTTAAATGAAACATAGCTTAAATAAGGCTGTAAATTTCTTGAATCAGCAGGAAAACATAACAGAACAAAAGATGCCACTGAAAATCACACCATCAAAATGAAGCAACTTGAAAGATCAGAACAGTTGTTACAATCTGTTGGAATTTCAAGTATGATAACTTACTTGCATATGTCATCTTCTGGTTCTTCAAGCCCAAATCTTTCATCAAATGTAAGTTGTATCCATACATTTTCCTCTGCTGCTACTAATCTCCATACCAAGACCATATTTCTTGGATAAGTATGAGGAAACTTTGGGCTGTGAATACTTCCATTAGTGGACACGGTAATAATTCTCTCATGCTGGGGAGCTTGTACTCCTAAAACAAAAACATAGGTATACACTTACATTGAGAACAGACATTTTAAAAATCATAGGTTTCAAAATAAATGTTTTTTTTAATCATCCACATTTTACCCAAACAAGTGTTGGATATGCTTCATAAAATATAAATTAAGTATTACTCTCTTCAGAATTTAACCAGAAAAAAAAGAGATTATTTTAACATTATTGAGTAAAAACCTATGTATAGGTATACTTCAAAGAACAAAGCAAATTAGTCATTTTAATCAAATTACCAAAATTTCAAACAACCAATACTTTTGGATTCCTAAAATTGCAATAAAATTAAGACCCTAATCTCCAAGAACTTATCAAATATGAATCATATTAGAACAAAAAGAAGTGCGATATAACTAGTTTTAAAAATACAAATTATGATTGAACTCCCCCTAATCATGATTAGGTTAGATAACTTAGAGTTCATCAAAATGTAGATTATCTGCCTGAGCCTAACCTAATAAAAGAAGCTGGGCCCTTCCTAAATTCAGAGAAATTCAAAGTGTAAGAGAGATTCAACAGCAGGTTGATTCTTTATTGCTGGCATCAATGAACACGGAGGAGGTGACATGTCCGGGGTTGTGGGAAGCCAGCCGAAGACAGGCTAAGGCTGACAGCTAGCAAGGAAATGGGACCTCAGTCCTAAAACCTCAGGAACCTGAAGAAACTTGGAAGTAGACTCTTCTCCACAACCCCCAGGAAGAATCAAGTCTGGCTGACACCTTGATTTTAGCCTCGTGCAACTCTGAGCAAGAACCTAGTCACAGGATGCCCAGACTTCTGACCCATAGAGCTAAGATGAAATAAAGTGAGTTTTAAATGGCCAAATTTATGATAATTTCTTACACTTTATTAGAAATGAATACATCTTCTATTGGGCACAAAGCTGTTCGGATGGCAAGTTATTCCTTTTTGCCTCCATTCTTCAACAGCAATCAGAGTTCTAGCATGTACAATAACTGCAACAACTTTTCATTTAATATTATGTTAGTCAAAATACATGATTGAACTCTGGTAAAATGCAATTTAAGAATACTGCTCTAAGAAACTCCTTGAATTTAAAAGACAATGTCAAGAGTCATGTATTAGAAGGGTCATGTAATTAAGATTAAAGAATAACCTTTTTGATTGTTAAAACACCCAAAATAATTTTAATAAGTTTGTCTATGATTCTTGAAGCAGTATTTTCATCCTCATAAACAGCTGTTTTAACAATCAGTTTGGTAAGTATTTTTTTTATATTTTCTAACCTAGAAATAGGGAGACAAGGTAAAGACATATATAATGTCCTTTGACAATACCTAGTACACATTATGGGGAAGATCATCATATTAGTAAAATATGCTTTAAGTACCTAAATTTGTGCCTAACCTTGTCCTCAGCAGTAAGTAACCTACATAGAAATACATTCTCTTCTAAATTGGATGCTAATTGTTGATACTGCTGTTGGCTATATTAACATATATGAAATGATCAATAACTCCTCTATGCACACCAGTATATCTCCTAGGAAGACATAAGATCTATCAAGTTAGATGATATCTTCCCTATAGAAGATAATGCTAATTTACTATTAAAATTAAATTAATAAATTGTTTTCAAAGCTTTCTTTCAAAAATGGACCCTGGCCGGGTAGCTAGGTCACTTAGAGTATTGTCCTGAAATGGCAAGGTTGAGAGTTTGAACCCTGGTTAGGGCACATACAAGAATCAACCAATAAATGCATGAATAAGTCAAATAACAAATCTCTTTCTCTCTCTCTCCCTCTCTCTCTCTCTCTCTCTCTCTCTCTCTCTCTCTCTCTGTCTAAAATTAATAAATGTTAAAAATTTAAATGGAAATGAGATATTTTCCCACTCCTTAAATTTTATTCCAATAATCTACACATAGTAGTAGCTTATATCGAGGATTCTTCTTTTTTAACTAATATTTCTAATAAGTTAACTTTTTTCAATCAGATTTATTAATATTTACCCCATTTCGTCTCAAAGCAAATGCCTTATATCTCAAGGCACTCTTTACAAATACAGCAACGTTTACTTTCATATATAATCTAGAAAACTAAGTGGTTATTAAAAGATTTGAATCTATTTTTATATCTCCAGTCAAAACAGCTCATAGATAAAAAGTGTATACTTAAATTGTTAACATTTTTTCTTTTCTTTATAATTCACAATTCTGCTAAACTGTAACTAAACATAATTCATAGACTAAAAAGCTAAGCCTTATTTGTGCTAAGCATTGTAAATTTCCTAAGTTAAATTGCTGCTCCTAAAAATTCATCTCAAAATGCACTGAGGTTTGCCACCAAACACATATGATTTATATAAATCTCAACTACTACCTCTATAATCAAAATGAAAAAAGCAACAAACAGTAAGTTCTACCAAATTAAGACTCTGCATTTATACCCCTGCTATTTAAAAATATCATTTTTCCAAAGATATAACTTACTGGTATTTTAGGAATAAGATAAGTATATATTTTGTAACTATTTTATTGAATAGCTTCTTTCCTAGTCAATAACGGTCCACACAAAAAAGAACCAATGAAATAAAACAATTGCTTGTAGTCAAATCACTACAATATTTCCAAGATACTCCATTCAATGTATTCTAAACAAGAATAAATTAATCATTATAGATGAATTTAGCATGGAAAATGAAAATGTTCACAAACACTAAATTTTTTAAATTGTAACTATACATCATTTCATATTATCCTGTACAACCCCTTAAGGTATAAGTATTAAAAACTAAAATGAAACAAAAATAGAAAAGAAAAGACTAAAAGAAGTTAATAATGCAAATACGATAAAACTATTGATTATGTATATACACATACAATTCAACTACATAGAATCATTGTATTTTCATATGTATTCAATAAGCTTAGTATTACAATTAAAATAATTTCCAAATATTTGCCATGCTGTTAGTCCCTTTGAAGCTAAAAGAGAGTAGGAGTAAAAGGATCATAAGCAAGGAAAATTATAATAATTGAAAATGCTTAATAAAGATAACACTAAAAAAGGTATTTCTGGATAATATATAATTCATAAAAACAGATAAATCATCCATTTCCTTCTCTATTCTAATGTTATAAGTTGATTGTCAAAAGAAAGACTTGTAATACTAAGAACTAGGTAAAAAGAAAGGAGTTTCCACTCTTGGTTTAGTTTTAGAGTTCTGAAGAATTCTGGTTCCTGTTTCACATAGGCAAGACTATAGTGACATGTCACACGTGTAAACTTCACTGATGTCCTGTGAAATTTTTGAGGTGTTTACTTGCAAATACATGTTAATTTTAAATTGTGCATATAAAGGCATTTCTGTAATAGTCAGTTGCATCTATTTTCAAACCCTTACTTATTCACCAGTCTTATGTGTGCTTTGCTCTGCACACTGTTTTTCCCCAGTGATAAACCTCCTTTATCCTAATTTTATTACTGTGTTTATAAATAATAAGCTATCTCTGTTTCCACTTTCATTAGCTCTCAATTAACAAATTTTTCACTTTTAAGCAATAGTTAAAATCACATGACACATATATGTAAAAGCTAGTTTTACTGCTTCCATGATTGGCACCTTTTTCCTAGGAAAACTAGAATAATCTCATCCTAATCCTCTTTGATTCTGTAGAGGGAAGATATACTTGAGCTCCACATAGCAAAGAGATATCTCTCCATACAAACTGAGGAATCTCAGAGGGAAAGGGTCCGGAGAGATTAACCAAAGACCTTATATGCATATATGCATAATTCATGGACACAGACAATAGTGCAAAGAAAGCCTTGGTTGGGGATAGAAGGGGTCAATGGGGGAGGGGGAGAAGGGGGACATATGTAATACTTTCAACAATAAAAATAAAATTTTAAAAATAAAGAAAAAGAAAAGAAAAATCCCAAACAATATAGGTAACCCATTTTCATATTTATAATTCTGACTATTAAAACAAAAGACTAATATACTAGACAGAAAACTCAGACCCCATCAGCTCAATCTATTGTTTGCCATACCTTTAAAGAAGTAGCAAAATAAAACAAAGATAATCAACAAAGTTTTCTTTATCCAAACTGTTTAAAAATTACATGAATAAATGTTCAAGAAAAAATAAAATAAGGGATTGCTATATTAAGTAAGCCATAAAACAATATGTTTAAGATATGCTCAACTTAGGTTCCTGAATTTATCCCAGAATAAAATCATTTTATTCCTCCAGGGAATGAATAGTCAAAAATCATATGTTGAGACTCTATCATGTGTCATGAACTGTTCCAGGTACCTCGGACATCGGGAACAAACAAACAAAAAAATCTTGTCCTCTTAATATGACAACTTCTGGGACTTTAATTGAGTATCATTACTCCACTAAATAATGATACTAATAATTAATATTCAAAACCCACTTTGGATGTTACCTAGTTTAGACTGCCATCCTGATTCTTGTGTGTATTCATTCCTTCAGGACTGCATATTTTAATCATAATATATGGCTTGATCTTTCTTTTCTACCCCACTATAAATTCCTAGATGGCAGAACTATTTTTATTAAAGTCCACAACCAGTACCTAGCACTGTGCCCAGCACACATCACTACTTCATACAAATCAATAGAAACAAACTTGCTATCCCAGAACATAGCCAAAAACAATTTTATGTGTTATTTTAAAATTTCATCTTCAATTCCTAAATTTCCAGAGACTGTTCATATAAAATTAAAGATATTTTATAATGTATACACCTCACCAATTAAAGTCCCAAAATGTGTATTTGATATTTTACTCAAAATTCATCTATTAGAATCTACATGTATTTTTCAGCTGAAGGCTATAGGTAGTAGAGTACTCACTATTGAGATTTGCCATTTTCTTTATATGCTTGCTTTGTTTTTTTAAAAAAATAGATGTTTATAATTTTGACATATTTGAGAAAGCTACATTATAATCATTATTTTATCTTAACTATCAAAATAAATCAA